ACGGACAAATGTAAAGAAAATCAAAATCAAAATTATTCATCCTATACGAATTTTATGCTAACGTTGACCCTCTGTGGGGCGGGGCCCATCGGGCATTTGGTAAAAATCGCTTCTTATTGTCTGCCTACGCTATGAGAGGAATATGTATGCCAAAATCGCATGCTTCTAGGTGCTATGGTTTGGCCTGTGCGTTTATCGTAATTTCGCCTTTATATTATAGAGATAAGGATTTTTACTTACAGATCACCTATTACTGTAGTTCTACTTCCATATAGATTAAAATAATTAGCCTTACCTGTTTTAAAATCACTAGCACTAACGACGTCTGTTTACAATGATTCCTAATAGGTTAGACATTTCTCACCTGTTAAAAAGTTTCAACATATGTAACAAAATAGAAAATACAATATTACACTAGCGAAGCTGTAAGCTAAAAGCTAGTATGTTGCTCTGTTATTCTCGTTCATTTACATCAGTCAGTACGGTGGGGCACACGGAAGATTTCTCAGGTGCCGTTTGACGTCACTAACTACTGCTGACGTCACTAACTGCTGCGTCTGAAGAAACAGACAATTTTATAATTTTTCTATTATTAAATTAAACTGTCATAACCTAACCAAACTAACCAAACGTGCTGATAATGGAAAAATCGAATGAAGGTTTACTAATCTAAAAAATAGTTTTGTTTATAAAATAAAATTATAAATGCCTAAAATTCAATTATATAATTTTTTAATTATAAAATTAAACTGTCATAACCTAACCAAACCAACCAAACTTGCTGATATGAAAAAATTGTTGACTAAAAGTTAATGCTACTAGCGGGATTCGAACCCGGTATGTTCTTATTATCAGCCCGCCACGCTATCCACTGGGATTCGAACCCGGTATGTTCTTATTATCAGCCCGCCACGCTATCCACTACCCCACCGAGGCCGATGGCTCTAATCGTATCGTTGCGGTATTGGTGTTCCCTTTAAGTGACATCAGCAGTTAGTGACGGCAAACGGCACCTGAGAAATCTTCCGTGTGCCGTCTCGTCAGTCGGTACTGCGGGTAATAGAACATAAATTGTATGGATCATAAACGTAAACAAATAACACCCCAAAAGGAAAAAATCAATATTTTTGAACTAAGAACTAGAAACTAGAACTAGTTTCATAATTCTTTGTACTTAGAAAACAAAACTAAAGAAAAAAGAGAAAAATCTGTAAACTTTGTTTGTCATTTTTTCAATCTATTGGTCCTCGCCGACAAGTTTTGTAAACTTGGCGAGGCCATGCTTGTAATATCCTAAATAAATATATTTGAATTTGAATTTGAATTAAATATCATTAATATTTAAATAAAAAAATTCCCAAATCAGATGTTACGGCTATTAATACGCATTCGGGCCAGTGACGTCATTTGTTTGTGTTTATGATCAATACCGTTTCTGTCCTAATATTCACGGGTAATTCCACAATGCTCGCGCGCCTTCCACCAAGTAGACGCAAATTAGGTGCTGCGTTCGTTATGCCTACTTAGCTCAGTGAAGGGGCGACTGACACCGATTGTAGAACCGGTTCATTTACGTAGGCGGGTTATATTAAGTAATCTTCATGTTGTTGACATTACTTATCATAACGTAATTGGTTATTGTATCGATCGTTAGAAACGTTGGGGATAATAGAAGTCAGGTGAATCAGAAACAAAGGTTGTTTTTTTTATTTAGTTTTATTTTTTTATTGTTTTTGTTACGAAATTGTTTGGTTTGCGAAAAGTTTACTTTGGACAGATTTTTTTGTTGATTTGCTTATGCTAATTTTTATCATTAAACTGTTCCATAATATTCACATTGAAAGTTAGGGTACTTATTTGGTGAATTTTACTATTTACCTTTTTTCCGAGTGAAAAGAATCTATATTAAGAGGTATTTAGTGAGAATTCTTTCATTGTAACTATATATTTTTAGTGATTATTATAGGTGAGAAGAGTTCTTCGTGAGTACCATGTGCCTACATGATTGGTAAGATTTCACTCTTAATGAATGCGTTCGATTGTATAACATAAACTACAACAGTAAATAACACAGATCCTTATATGATAACTGCTGGAAAGCTTGTGTTTTCTATTTAAAACCCTACTGTTCTTCTACTAAACCGTTCAAGTCCAAGTCCTAAAGATGGTCCACGAAATATAGTTCATTCAGTTATTGTAAAACTCACAACGTGACGCCCAATGTAGTGAAAGTAGTCGATGACTCGACAACTAAATCAATCATTTCACTGCACACATCTCGTTGATGCCGGTAAACTGTCAAATGTCAAACAAATGGCTCTCGCCAGGTCATAAATCTGCCTCATCACCAATGATGAGCCACGTAACGATGAGCCAGTAATGCTCATCATCGCGACGTTAATATTCAGTCATTAAATTGTGAAAGTGACGAACCTCTTGCAAAAGACTGCAAGTGATTTGGTTGAAAAGGAAACGGTAATAAGTTAACCTTAATTACAGTACTCGTTACTCTATGGCGGGATAGGCAGAAGTGTTACTCTATGGCGGGGAGTAGCTGGGTGCGTGACTCTATTAGAGCGATTCGTGTAGCCTAATTGTAACACTTGCAGTATCTTCAGTATTGGTTGCAAAACCGGGATTTTCTCTGCTCTCGTAGATATTGCGTGCCCAGCAAAATTGGTCTGGATTCCACTATAAACTGCAGGTCCCTTATTTGCCATTGGCTAGCTCTGTATGGGCTATTTATTAACAGTCCTGTGTCTAAGGAACATGTTGGCCTTAGTTCCCCAGAACCAACAACAACAACAACTACACAACAACAACAACAAGTCTACAAGATGGCGCCACTCATCCCTCATATCCAATCATACTTGGCTATACTTACCTTTCTATGGTCACCATTTCAGAATAAAGTATTAAAGTTTCTTTCTACAAAAAGAAACATTCGATGAAATTCTACGTGTTTTCTAAGAACTGCGATTTTTAGATGTTGAATGATCTGATCCACCACAAACAGGAAGAACGGCCGTGCATTAATTAATTGCGCCAAGTCGGGGATGCGGAATACTACTCGCCTAGTAAAATATGATGCTTTGTAATTGTAATTTTAATTAGATTAATTCAGTTTGATAACAGAAAAGGCATGTGGGGAATATCAAACAGAATTTTGAAATTTTACAGCAAGTTTGGTTGGTTAGGTTACGTTAGTTTATAACAGTTTGACAGCGAAACTTGAGTGTCCGTGACTGGAAAACTGCCCCACCGATCTCCAACGTCGACATGACGTAGGAACCTGCCTAGGGGGTAGTTGTCCGGGGAGCAGTCTTCCGGTGACCCGCCAAGCCAACTAGTTTTTTAATTGCGTTAAGCCCTCAAAGGGTCCCAAAAATATTCCTTAGTTGCGCCAAACTAAAGGCAGGTAGGGGTGAGTTGCCGGCAGAAGGAATGCCTTGTTTACGTGCCACTCTAACCTATCCTATCCTAACCTAAACTAACCTAACCTAGCCTAACTTAACCTACCTAACCTAACCTACTCAATTATACAATCAAATAGAGCCACTACTTGGTGCAGGTAATAAACGTATCGGGTGGCTCCCCGGAGTAGTTGGTGCAATTCAGTAATACCCGACTACCTGACTCAGGTCAGTTGGCGCAATTAATGCCCACCCGGAAGAACAAGGTTTCCAAGGTGAGATTCCACATACCTTGTGAGAGATGCGGAAGTTCTCGGGATGTTGTTAGTGCTCCATGCTCTTATACTCTCTCTGTCTCACTCTCTACAACCGTGACACCATGACCCTCGCACACGCACAACTATCTCACACACACTAACAATGAAGAACAGATCATATACTGTCACTGCGCAGAGTAATAGCTGTAGCATTGTTTTATAACACTCTCGTAATGTGCATTATAGTGTTGACGTTTTTGTATTGCGTTGGATGCAGTGGTGTTCATTACCGGTAGGTTATAATTAAATATTAGGTTGGTACTCTTGGTCATGTCTTTATAGACGTTGTGTAAGGCCCGTATTACACTACTGTATCATAGTTCTATGACATATATCTATTATCATATGTCTTTGATGAAAATTATTACAGTGTAATGTACCAACTATTATAATGGTTTTGAACTATGATAATATGTTCTCCTTGAGAGAACATATTATCATATATTTGATAATATAATATGTCATAGAACTATGATAGTGTAATCCCGGCCTTACGTCACTCAAATATTTATGACACGTTTCAATTTATAATTGTTTACATATAAACGGCTCAGCTGTTTTTAAATTATAAAACATAAATATTTACATAAGTTGGATATTTGACATTTAACTGTTGTTTTATATAAAACTAGTGGCTTGTAGGGGCAATAGCCCCTATATAAAAATATTCTAGTAATTATTTTGTACAAATTATTAGTCTCATGGGTCACCCTACCTTGAATTAGGCCTATCGTTTTTACATTTTTCTATATTATAATATCTATAACAGTTAATACATACCTGCATAATGCATTTTGATGTCTGTCCTATTTAAAATAAAAATTCGAAAGGACTGTTCATGCAGTGTGTTTATAATATAAACTTTCTAATCATGATACAACTAAGGAACATTTTAAATAATAATCTTCATGACTATTAATTAAATATATATATACTTTTGTTTGAATATAGACAAATTCACTTAGATAAAACACATAGAGAGAATGCCATCCTCCAAATTTAAAATGCTAATTCTATAACAAAATCTCTCTGAAAACGACATTTGTTGTATAGTATCCATTTTGGTCGCTTCCTTGGTCTTTATTTGGTTCTAGTACTATTTTAACATCATTATAATATGTCATAGAACTATGATAGTGTAATCCCGGCCTTACGTCACTCAAATATTTATGACACGTTTCAATTTATAATTGTTTACATATAAACGGCTCAGCTGTTTTTAAATTATAAAACATAAATATTTACATAAGTTGGATATTTGACATTTAACTGTTGTTTTATATAAAATTTCAATCCGTTTGTTGTATTGGAGGACATTTTAAAATCCAACAAGTTTTTATAATTTTTTAACCTAGCAAATACTATCAGAAACGAAGGCTACATAAGAAGGTTTCCCAATGCTGCGAAGAAATGCCACTCGGGTGACAATCGCAAGTCTCCCCACAGAACCTGCCCCACCTACAACCCCTCCTGTGCGGGTGTTGCGGCAGTCGGAGGACGAGGACATACCCTACATCCAGGCTCTGCAGACACCCTTCACTCAGATCATGTTCGGCGAGATCAACCTGAGAAGCTGCATGGAGAAGTACGTCTGCAAGACCCTGGTCAACACTAACGACGAAGTGGTCGCCTTCCTAGTAATCATGGACCATCCTAACATCCCAACATTGTCTCACTGCCAGTGGGTCGGCTGGATTAGGAGGTTCTACAGAATAGATTTTGCTTCGCCCTGGAACACACGTTTCATCCACTACCTGGTCTGGGATAATAGATACACAAATATATTTCTCTCCTGTTTGAAGTCCCTTTACAAAAACAACGACAAGCTTGAGCAAATCGTAATGGTTACTCCACCAGGAGTGAACATTTTCCCTGAGCTGGAGCCGTTCTTCACTCTGGTGTATCCCAGTGTCGGGGAGGGTGGAAGATCGGCTTTGGCACACTTTCAGAATCTTCACATCAACCTTAGACACCGTGTACTGTCTAAGTTGACTATCCGTAGAGCCGGAGAGGAAGACAACATCGATGTACAACCTCTGGTGCATCACCAATTAAACGTGCTCAAGTACGTCTATGGTGACATCAAGTTAGGAAGTATAATAGATGTTAAGAGCTCCAGTAAAGTCGTGCTGGTGTCGGAGAAAGGTTCAGCGACGGTCGGGGTTATATCTTTATCGTCTAAAGTTGACTATCACCATATCAACTTCTTTTTCCATCACGTATTTGAGACTAAAGCCACAGGTTCTTCTGCGGAACGCGGGGTTCGCATGGAAACTATCCGATCGGAATGCAGACGAGGTTTACCATTCACAGCAGACACTATGTTGGCAGATGAACAGCTGTCTATGGAGTTGAAAGTGGACAAGTCGTTCGAAGACACGTCAGTTGATGAAGATGATGACCGCGACGAGATGACGATCGTCTATTGGGACGAAGACGGTGATATGTTCAGAGTGGTAGACCCTGTAATGGAGTATCTTCTACACAAAGAATCACATGGATCTGTACTGAGGCTGCAAGATGATGATCGTAAAGAAAGCACAAAGTCCAAGATTTCGATTGACCACACGTACTTTGGGCGGCCAAGCTGGTCTAATAGTTTTCTGCCTATTACCAGAGAGGCGTCCCTCTCTTTACGGGACAAGGTGACCATGAGTGGAAGAGACCAAACGGTAAGTAGTATAGACACGCCAACTGAGAATGCTTTTATAATAACGTTGTTAGCTCTTCATCCGGACTTGGACGCTCGGTACGCGTTTGATCTACTTGAAGCATCATTCGAGAGTTTTCCAGACAAACATTTCTGCTTGTTATCGTTACCTACGGCTTATCAGGGATCCCCTTTGACAAGATATATGGTTAGAGTGTCGCCAAAGCTGTTATGGGACTTTCCTCATGAGCTTTACTTTATACACCGTAACGCAATGTTTAGCGAGTTTAACGTTAGACCAGTGACCGTCGTAGATCACGCTGACATTCAGGAACTAGTTGAACATTTTTCAAACGGGAAAAAAATATGTAAAGAAATTACAAAAATTATTCTTTGTGAAAGTCCAAATACTAAAGGGTTTGTTCTAGAATGTGAAGGAAGTACTGTTGGTGTCGCAGTGGTTAAAAGTAATTTTGAACTAAACAAGATACAGCCACATTTTATGGTAGACAAAGTGATAAATATAACCCTATATGATCAGGAGAAACACGGGCTTATCAGACATTTAGTATTATGTCCGATCTTCCTCAAGAGTGGGCCATTTTTTCTTCGACAAATTATGCACCAGGCTGAATTAGAAACATTAAGCTATTTTCTTCACCACGAGGAAACAAATAGCTTATTGCAAAGTGATGCCAATTCGATTTCAGTTTTGGGTGACTTGACGCCAGTAAAGCCACGGAGGTGGGTTAAGTATGAGCTCAGTGCACTAGATGAGCTTAAACCCCAAGAACATGTTTTGCGTTCGGAAAACGACTATGCTCTCTTTATTGCAACCGAGAAACTTTTGAGTGTTCCAAAACTTGAACTAAACTACAGGATAGTTGTCGTCGGAGGGTCAATTACGGCCATGTCTTTTCTAGAAAATTTAATCTTCAGATCTGCTCGGAAACAAATAAAATATAACAATCTAGTTTTAGTCTCAATTCACGGATTCCCCCTGGAGTTACAGTCCCACACTGCGGCAGACAGAATGGTTCCTCAAGGTGGTTTCTACACGAGGGAGTACTTATCCAGGATCAGTTTGTCTACTCACGTAAATGTGCTGTACGGGGCTCTCACTGTCATCAACCGAATGGAGAAGATGATCTGCCTCAACAACGAACACTGGATGCGCTACGACTACCTATTTCTTACGACAGGCTTGCAGTTCGTTAAACCTTGGCCGGTCATGACCCCTTCTGAAACCAACCACACATCCACCTGCCAAACCATATCTTACAGCTCGGACCTAGGTTCTTGTTTTACGGGGGACCAGGATCTCCCTAACCACGACTGCCGCAAGAACGAGGACTTGCGAGAATTGTACAACAATGTCTCTAAACAGCATGGAGAAAACCTATTCGTCATAAATACATCAGCAGACGCCATCTTAGCTCTCGGTCACCTCAAAAACATTTTAAAGCACAAAACAGATGGCAAAATACTCGTTTTTGGGCATGGTCTGAGTACATTCACGTGCGTTCAATCACTGCTAATTTTTGGTGTACCTGGTCACAAAATAGTACTAGTTATCGCTCCACACGTCGTTACCAACTACAGCTGTCTAGAGACTAATCCGTTCGTGGATAAAACTGTGGCACAGACATTGGAAGAGCTTGGAGTGACTATACACAGAGGCTTTTCACTAATTCGCTGGAGTCTCAAGCACAAGCTATTAGAGAAAGTGATGTTTCGAAACATCGACAACGTTCCTCTGACAATTGATTGTATTGCCTTCTTCTGCTACGGATCCAGGAGTACCAATGCGAAAACATTCTTGGCGGTGAATGACTCAGGGATCGTGTACAACAATGGTATAATCATTGACAACCGATTTCGCACAAACGACGAGTATATTTACGCTGCTGGATCTGGCACTCGGTATAGTAACAGATACAGTCCGAACCAGTTTTCTCATCATAAATATTACAATCCCGCCGAGATCGGTCTGGTGCTGAGTAAGACCTTCCGACGTTTAGTAGAACCACGCGCTGAAGTTAACAAAGAACTCGATGATGTGCCTCAAATCTTAGAAGAGAACGTCTCTTCCTGTTCAGAGAAAGCAGACATTTCTCCATCTCCAGAAACTCTGCCTAGGCTCCGCGAACCAGTAACATGGGTCGCTCAGCTTCCTGGAGGCTGGAATTACGTCAAGGTCACAGCTCCTGGACGTCCGCTACCGCTGGAATGTCAGCTCTCCGGGCAAGGGGACTCTGGACCCGTTATCATCACGGGAGTCCCAATCCTACCTGACGGTCCGGGATACTTTCAACTCTCATTTTCCATCTTCAACACAGTCCGTGAAATAGTTTTACTTTCAAAGAAGGAGATACCTTACCAGAACCTATGCCAGCTGTACGGGAAACACGAACGGCTCTTGAACAACTTGTACGAGCTTTACAACCAAGGCCTCATCAGTGACTTGTACAGCTTCTTCGGTCAGCCGTGGGCGTACGCGCTGTACACCACTGGGTTCAACAAGCTAACAAGGCAGTGTGCTGAGTTCTTCGTCAGCAGTGACGTCGTCAGTTCACCACCTCTAAAGGACCTGCAACCCGAGGAGCTGCATAGGTTGATAAAAGACCGAGAAACTATAAACTCGCGGTACTCGACCTCCTCCATCCCCTTGTACGTGGATCATCTGGTCCTGAGGTACGTCAGAGAGCGACCACAGCAGCTGCCCATGTACTTCACAGACGCCACTCTAGCTTTGAGTCGCTCCGCTCTAGCACACAGTCCGCTCCATAGAGACCCCACCAAGCTGCGTCGGAAGACCAAGACTTCTTCGATTCTGAACTGACTGTTGTTTCGAAACGAACTGTCTAAAAGATTATTTGACTAAAGTTCGTAAAATTATTGGGTCCATTAGGGTAAAAAATGTGTAATCTTATAAAAGACGACACTCGCCGTCCTAGTGATGGAAGTGAGCTTCTTTGGAAGAAATTTAAACATCAACGTTTCCTAGGCTAAAGCTAAAGTACAGCGTTTTAGTTCCCCAACAATAAAGATTTTAGCCTGACAATGGGAAATATTCTAAATGTGAATTTTTTTGGTGCTTAGTATATTTTATTGGTTTAGAAAATCTGTTCTTTTCATTGCGCTAAAATATACTGTAATAAATAATACTTGTGCTAAAATATCAGTTGTACATCTACAAATCATTTAACTTTTTTCTTCATGAATCGTTACTTGTGACATTTCAAAAGCATTATGCTCTTTTATGACCAATACATCACGGATTAAATATGCCCTACAGTCCAGTTTTAGTAATTGGCATAAATTACGTCACAAAAACTTGTGATTATTTTGAAAACAATGTCACGTGCTATTGATAAACTATTTAATAGAAAAATAAATTACTATCACCACTGTTAAAAATACCTTACTACTCAACTAATCGATTTTTCAAACCACTTTAAATTGAAAATCAACACGATAATGAAATACTCAGCCCTGATTAATACTGTAAAAATCCACTCGAGTGCTACAACCAATTTGTTTACTTGTATCTGGACCACTATGTTGATAATGGGCCGATTGTAAACGCCAAACATTTAAACCATTTAGGGAAAGTGTCAGCCATTTCAACAAGTTGCGTCATTGTTGGGAACTTTTATTTTTGGCACGGCACCCGGATCAGCATCATGTAACAAGTTCAGAACTGGGTTTGTATTTACGAAATCACCGCACGTGTCGGAAATATTTCGTTGACTTTAAAATCATTGACATGTATATAAAAACCAGTTGAGTTTTGTGAAAGGATAGTCCAGCCTGATTAACGTTGCAAAACAAAGTTCTATAAAAATACAAAGTTTTGCCATTGTTTTACTCAACATATTTTTAAGATTGCTTTATAAATTCATCAAACTGTTCGTCAATATAGGATGCGCGGGAACAATTAAGCCTTCTTAGTCTATAGTAAGCATTGTAAAACTGCTCGAAATATTTATTAACATTTCTTGTAGAAAATCGATTATTCATTTCAATGATTTTATTTGTGTTGTTTTCATAATGCTGTATCTATTTCAAACTAAATGTCTATTACATCCTGGACAACGTGATATAACTCCAGATATGGATTATTATCTTTCTCATGAGTGAGATAAAGATTATAATCGATATCTATTCGTACATATCTCATTGATCGGTGCGGAATAATAGAATTATAAGGCAATGGCAAAGTTTGATTTATTTAGTCCTGCTCATTGTTTTACATAAACTATCTCGCCATGCAAAATTTCAACTTTTAAGCATTCACTACCAGGTGAATCAAGGCATGCAGAGAAGAGTGACGTCCGGTGCCAACCTGTTGACCAAATATCAACTAATGACACAAAAAATTCCAAATTCAAAACTTCTATTATAGGACGTTTAATTCATTACTGCAATTTTAGGGGAACACTTAAACAAATCAAATTTCAAAGATTCTGCATTGGCCTAACTATTTTTTCCTTGTTGTCCTCAAAGTCGACCAAAGTTGAGGTTCCAGCTGCTTTGGTCCTTGAAATAAGTATTCCAAATAATGTATTAAATTATATTTCACTTCTATCATTTGTACTTAGTGTCAAATAAGTGTTTAAATATATGTTCGACACGTTTTCCCCTCTATATGGTGTTAAAATCTTTCTCTAAAAATATGGTTCGGATTCCACTATAAACTGTAAGTCCCTTAGTTGTCTTTGGCTGTATGGGTTATTAATAAACAGTCCTGTCTAAGTAAAATGTCGGCCTTAGTCACTAACAAAATTACAAGATCGTGCCACTTATCCTATACTCATCTCCATTCATACTTGGCTTAAAAATCCTACCTTCGTATGGTCGCCATTTCAGTTAAAAGTTTCAAAAGAACAATATTTTTCACCACACTATACACTAATACCACTATTCACCACAATAATAATGCACACTGATAGTCAACACAAATACAACATTAAGGTTATGTGAAGAAATAACTTTAGGGTATTTACTTAAGGGAGGTACAGAAGAGCCTTCGATGACGTCAGCAGTCAGATCTCCTCTTGAGGATCACCATTACCGCAACGATACGGAATTCAGTCATCGGCCTCGGTGATGTAGTGGATAGCGTGTCGGGTTGATAATCCGAAGGTGCCGGATTCGAATCCCGCAGGTAGCACCAAGTTTTTGTCAACATTTTATTTCTTATCAGCAAGTTTTGTTGGTTTGGTTAGGTTATGACTGTTTAATTTTATAATTTAAAAAATTATAAAATTGAATTTTAGGCATTTATAATTTTACTTTATGAACAAAACTATTTTTTAGATTAGTAAACCTTCATTCGATTTTTTAATTAAGTTATCAGCACGTTTGGTTAGTTTGGTTAGGTTATGACAGTTTAATTTAATAACTGAATAACTTTAAGATTAATTTTAAAAATTTTCTTAATTTTATAATTAACTAGGCCTAATAGTGGAGTAAAAATTACGCGCTGTGCTCTCTACTACAACGCTGTTAACGGAGGAATTTTGAACTTTTACTAAACTATGATGTCATCGTTGCCTCATTTGTACCTCCCTTAAGTCAGACCCTAATTTTAGGAATCAGCAAAAATAATAATAAATACTTGCTATGCAGCGGTGACAGTAAAACAATTCTATTGCAATGCTATGGATACTGATTGTGCATTCATGTTTTAAGAAAGTAAGCGGGCAGCTGATTTTTCGGCCATAGGGATGTAAAAACCTGCTCGGTCCCCAGATGACGATGACAGCTGGCATGACCAGCAAAACGTAACTTTCAGCCACCAATGTATGTAAAACAGCTACAAACATCATAGTGTGATGAAAAGGGCATTTCAATCGCACTCCATATAACTAATAGATGTAAACCTTATACTGTTAAACATCAAAATAAACAAAATATATCTACTCCAGTAACCAACAATGTCAACCTCGTGCCCTGACCCCTCTGTCTACCTCCACCCTCTCCAGACCCCGTGGTCGCTGGTCGGGGGGCGGGGGGCTCCACACTCCGGTGAAAGTCCTCCACTCAGACCTCCCCAGACCCCCGTCCTGGACCTTCCATGGTACTCTCCACGAGTCTAGTCATCTTGCTACCTACAGCAGCGTAGTGTCTTCGATGGGTAACTAACTGTGACGCTTGTGTTTATCTAGGTTATATTCTTAGGTATTGCAGCTAAATTGTTCAATAGTTTGTGGTCGTGAGTGAAATTTAGATGTTAAGATACGCGTGATAAGAGGTGTTAGTTTTTGTTCTGATATTATGGAGTATGGTACAATCCAGTGTGTAATGTATGGTGGTAGTACGTTTATTTATCAATTATATAGGAATCTAGAACTTAAACTTAGTTAAACTTTTAGTCTTTTTTTAAGTTAGATCTTGTTCCAATATTGGATGATTGTGTCCGTTTTAATCTGTCAGATATAATCTAATTATGATTTAAACGCAACTGTAAAAACCTAAAACTGCCATTATTATTTTCTTATTTGTACCCCTGTGTTAATTGATTAAATAACAACGTTAGTTTCACTGGGATCTGTTGTGCTTACAAAAAAGAAACATTTGCCTTCCATCGAATCCATATTTTGTTCCATCGATATTCTTCATTTATTTAACCTGTAAACTATTAATGTATAGCAACTTGTAGTTAATTTAGATGAATAAAACTAAACCTTTACATGATCATTAAATTCAAATTAACTGACATAGACGTACGACAACTAATGCCTGTTTAAACTAATTCATTAATAGCATTGCTTTGAATGGTCATTAAAACCCTGAACATGTCCACACTCCACAGTACTTTGTTGGTTATTGAGATATAGACAATATCTGCTGTTTACAATTATTTGTTATTACTTAGCTACCTAAATAGCTACGGGTTTTACAACATTGTACATAGATGATAGAGCTACTGTAAATAGAATCACGTTAATTATGATATTACAAAATAAACAAAACAACATAAAGCCAGTTTAATAATGCAGAGTTAAACCTATGAAAAATTTTCAATGTATTAAATTTAAGATTCATCAAAATGGTTAGTCTAAGATTAAACTTTATAGGATATAACCTCTAAAAGCATTAGCAAATCTGCAAAGGATTTTCATGTGACTTCCTAATAATCTTAATCCATACTTTCAAAAGTGTTAGCGTCTACATCAATACTTGTAGTGTTTTAATGAGACAAATTGTTGTTAACTCTCCTTCTCGTCTGTTTATGTTTGTTTTATTATTTAACGTTTGAGTTTAGTTTTAATTTAAGTTAAGAATCCTTTCTTTGGAAATCAACATACAATCACAACAGGAAGTAAAAAGGCCACATAGTTCTGATATCTATTATAAGTCAGGAAGATTGTTTAAAAGTGAAGTAACCAAAAGCTGACGTTTTTTGTACGGACACTTGATAGCAGAGCGGGTTTGCTGAATATCGTTTTGCTGGCAGAAGAAAGTTGAGTTGCATAAGAAGTGGTTCTGGCCTGACCACACCTGACTGGAGGTGGGTGGAACTGGCACAAGGATATGGCAGAGAAATGCCAACTGAAACTTGAGATTTGGGTAAAATTATTCGTGGCTAAATGTCAACAGTTTTATTAAACTTCCGAGAAACAGTGGTAACATCTTGAGTAACATCAGCGGTGTGTGATTAGAAAGGTCATGATTTCATTTGTCTGAACAGAAGTCCCGTCGTGTAATAAACAAGTTAGTAGTGTGTAGCTAAACAAACTATTAGCATAATGGGGGCTATCAAAATGGATTAGGTATGAGAAGAATGGCTTGTTTATTTTGTACATCATATAAAAATTGTTAGGTTTTGGTTATTCATCATATTCACGGATTGGTTTGTCTACAATATCAAGGGTCAAGGGTTTTTTAAATCGTTAACTACACATACTCCCTTATTTGATTTATCATTCTTATTTTGTCTCCAAATGATGATAATTTCAGAAAATGTTCATGGCCAGTAGGTAACTTTTTTCATTGACAGGTTTCTTCAATAATTTTAAAATGATAACGAATAATCAGAGTTACTCATTTACATTCTATTGGGTTTGTTTTGTTATTACAGCTAAAATCAAAAGAGCACACAATAGAATATACCCAAAATAACACAGATACATTTTATAATTTGCATAAATACACCACTCAACCACAGATGAAACACACGCCAAAACCAACTTCATATTTCACAATAGGACGCCAATGCCAAACTATATACCGGGTGTCCAAAACCACCCGTACACCCCTTTAAAAACGAGGGAAATCTTTTCTTACAAACAACAAATAATACAGAACTAGATAAATTGGGCTCGGTCTACCAAATGGTGATATTTTCAAATCCAAAATCACACCGGAAGTGGCTTTTTCAGACCGAAAGTTGATTTTTTTAAATGTAAACTACCAATTTTGATTACAGAATCGGATTCTACGTTGAAAAATACATAACTATTGTCTAAAACATTATTTGAAAAAATCTTATTTTGTGCCTCTAATACCCTATTGAAGTCAATAATTTTGGGTCATTCATTTGCCAAAGTTACTTGAAACAATAATAGAGAAAAACAAATAACAAAGATTAAATAAAGACATATGATGAATAGAATCAACTGTTTATTGTAATCACCTTAGTAATTGAGTAACAGCTGGTCTACACATTGCTTAATTTAATTTTTTTTTATATAATTGGTTTTTACATTTGACAACTTTATTGTAAAAACAAATTATTTATTTTTAAAATTAAATTAAAAACTAAGCAATGTGCAGACCAGCTGTTACTCAATTACTATAGTGTTTACAGTGTACAGCTGATTCTATTTATCAGATGTCTTTATGTAATCTTTGTTGTTTGTTTTTCTCTATTATTGTTTCAAGTAACTTTGGCAGATGAATGTCCCAAAATTATTGACATTAATAGGGTATCAGAGGCACAAAATAAGTTTTTTTTTCAAATAATGTTTTAGACAATAGTTATGTATGTTCTTAACGAACTTTGTTATGGATTAAACACGATAGTTATGCATTTTTCAACGTAGAATCCGATTCTGTAATCAAAATTGGTAGTTTACATTAAAAAAAGTCAACTTCCGGTCTGAAAAAGCCACTTCCGGTGTGATTTTGGATTTGAAATTATCACCATTTGATAGACCGTGCCCAATTTAGCTAGTTCTATATCATCTTTTGTTTGTAAGAAAAGGTTTCCATCGTTTTGAAAGGAGTGTTCGGGTGGTTTTGGACACCCGGTATACCGTGGTAATATTTCCATTATCAGAAGTACAATAATTATATGTAACCAAATCAAAAATTGCGACAAATCCAAACGGCTGGGAATTCACTTAGCAGTTAACCTTTCACACACTAAAACGCTTAAACAAATTACAGAAGACAATCAAATTCACCACGCATGTCTTTTCAATTTGATTGTTACCAAATACAAAACAACTCCTATTCAATGGTGTACTATTATATCCAAACAGCATAGAACCATTACAGGATTTGTTTGCCGAATTCGTTACAAGGTGAAAGCCTATTTGTTTTTATAATGCCTTCTTCTGTTGCGGTTACAGACTTTTACACACATTGTTTTCTCATGTAAAAGGTCACAAACCTTCACTTTATCTACAACCCAACACTCATTTCATTCTCCATCACGTAACCACTAACTGTCAGCTGTTTTAAACCACTCTTAAGCGTTGTTTATGCATAAGAACACAAGGTCTTTTGCAGAAAATCACCGCGTTTATTTCAAAGTAGCTGCTGTACCCGTACTTCGCAACGGGAAGATGTACTATACCACCTAATCTAAACACTTGATAGGTAGTTCGAATTTAAAAACAAATAGTCACCAAATTTATACCAAATTATAAACTACATGTAGCCCAATTGTCCTACTGTTTACATGAAAATATATAATAAACATTATTTTCATAACTTTGATACTTTAAAATCAAAAGCAGGTCCAGGGTTAATATAGTAACGGTTATCAACTTTTTTATTTCCATAATCAATGACATAAGTTACATAGTTGCATAGTTTTCTACCACATATAGTTGTGTAAAATATTATCTTAAATTGGTTCCAGCTGTCTGAAATTGTGAAATTAGCATTTGGTAGTTCTGCTTGTTTACATCGAAATGTCAACGCAAAAGTAAACATTGTGAGTCTTTTGATGCTTCCATGGATATAATTAATTAATATTTACTTTTGAAAACCTCACATCAAAACTTTGGACGCCCAAGGAGCGTAGCTCGAGAGGAACTCTGGGAAGTGAATAGGGCTATGACATTCCTAAATATGTGGACAATCTTTTTTGCTTAATTTGGGCTGTAACGGTTAAGTATGCTAATCGACCAAGCTACACAGACAGACAGATAGACAGACAGCCTTAATTTTATAATATTATAGATGGATTATCTTTAAGCCCTATAATCTTAGATACATGATAATAATCGTGTTACAGTTAGTAAAAAATATGAAAAATCTGAGCCTATTTCAACCCAGCCTAACCTAACATATTCCAATAATAGCAACGTGCTCATTGATCTCAATGTTAAATAAAAGACAGTGTTTTGGCTAAAACCAGTCAATTTACCACCAGACCTAACCTAACCAGACCTAATCGTTCTACTATAATAAATAATTACAATTAAGTTTTATTTGCTAAAAGTTGGCTATACGATACCTCTTTTATGAAGCAATCTAGTTTAAGAACATTCTCATTCGAAGCACCATATTGTTTAACGGTCACAAACGTATTATTGTTATGAAAGCCTCTATAATTTATCAATGAGAATGCTCGACACTATCGTGAACGTTCGGAAATATTCATAACGTGGAACGTTCGCTCTCTAGCCTACGTTTGTGTATTATTGATAGAACGCTTTCTATTTCTATTCGTCACCTCTTATCACAAACTAATGTGACCACGCAACTGGGAAATTTTAAACATGGGTGAAAGCTGGGAGTGAGACACATTTTTGTTTTTGATATTTTAAAATAGTCTACGAAATTTTCCACACTGTTTCAAGTGTTCTTCTTGAATCAGAATAGTTCGTACTTAAATTCCCAAAATCATGGACGTTACGTAGTATAAATATGGATACCCCTTTATCCATTAAAAAGGATACAAACTAAACTCAATATTTCAAAACTCTGTGTAAGTCAATAATTTTTGCGGAACTATAGTGTGTCTATGGTTGAAATGTAGTAGCTTGATACATAGCAACTAACTATAAAAAAACTATATATCATTTTCACATTTAGTGATTATTCAACGTGAAACTAAACTGGAAACATACTAAATAACTCGAACAGTTATTAATCTCTCAAATACACCACATTTAAAATTTTAGTTCCAAATCCATCATAGCTGTTCCAATTCCACTTCATTAACCCATCCAAAAATTAAAACATTGGTCTCGTTTTGTATTATAAAGTTGTAAGTCTCATCTTGTACTGCGAATCGGTTCAGAAGATTATGTATGTCAAATAACTGGTTCTGTTTAAAGTCTCTTGTTTTCATCTGATATTTCCAAATCAGACAGAAGTTCATGTATATCAAATGACTTTCATATTCACCCAGGTCCGCGACCTCCCCAAGGTGATCTAGTGCAGCGCGAGCAGAAACTGGGTTGTGGTCTGTCTGATCACGCGTGGACCATACTGAGGTGTTGCCCAATACCAATCTGTGTCTGGTTAATTCTACTAGTCAATTGTAGGAAGTAGACCAGTATCCAACAAACTCAGGTGTTCAAATGTAACTTGCATCACATAATTGTTAATATTCTATACTGGTATCGTTGTTAGGTGTCGTTATAGGTACAGAAAGTAGAGTTCCATTGGTTATACCAGAGTCTGCTAACCGTCTACTACAAATTTACTAGATTGATGATTGCTAATTGTTGGGTTGAGCAATATACAACAGCTTCCAGTGCATTCTTCTTTTTGATCGAATAGTTAATGTGAAAGAAAACTAAATAGATTGCTGTTTTTTAGAAAACTAGCGTTACCAAATTACAATTTACACACAAAAACTGTGTCAATTAATTGACTTTAGACTACGGATGATGAGTGTTAAACACTTTTCAACGTGAAATCTGGAGCTTTTGTTTGAGCGTTTGTTACCCCATAGAGTTGATGTACATTGTACATATCTCTGTCTTTAATTTATGCGTAAATGTAATAATAGTATGTCCTCAAACACGTTGGCTTTTGAATTACAGTGCAAGCAACACTACAAATTTGTTTTTCAGCCATACTATGAAAATATATTGATTACAAGGACTATACAGTATACAACACACTCAACGCATCTTCTTGATCTTAAATGTCGACAACTAAATTAAGAAAACTTTATGTATTTTCATTTGCGATAGTATCATTCCTATGGCCTAAAATAACAATAAACCACAATAATAGAGCACAAGATTCGTGTTGGCCTATTAAATATATAGATTAACAGCTGATTTATTTTACTCTATTTTTTTATTTATTTGTATGCACAGCTGATTGTGCACAAGACATGTCGCCAACTAATGTAGAACATACAATCAAAAGACGTTATGTTACCTAGCTAGCGCTTCCATGACTGGTACAATGTTTACTATAACAATGTGACATGTTGTTATGTTCGTTGTTGTCTCACCATTGTTGTTGTTGTTGTTGCAGGTGGTGTCGGTATGGCGGTGTGGCAGTGCCGCGTACTGCTCGTGGTGGTTCTGTGCCACCTCGCTCTCTCCTCGCCCGCGGTTCGCCGCGATCTCAGAGGCCTCGCCTATGAGCCTCCGCAGGACCCTCTGGCCCTAGCGCAGCCGGTAAGTTCCTTAGTGATAAGTATAGGAGGCCAGTAACTATAAAGCTTATCACCCCATAGCGTTGACATTAAGCCACCTTGTACGGCAAACACTATAGTTAAGCCTTAAGGGGTCGAGAGAAATATAAATTAGATTTTTATTCTTTATGATTTTTAAAAGTCTGCGCAATAATTGATTATGGATATTTCAAGTGGACTACTCATTGTACAATTTTAAGTTTGTTGAGTTTGTTTCATGTCTGGTAAAATTTGATTGTGTTGATGTTTCCTCGCTCACTAATCTTAATTTACACTCTTATAGTAGAATATCTTTTATAAAGATTTCAAGACCACAGAACAAGCACCAGTTTAAAATTTTTAGTGCTATTATTTTGCAATAATTAACCAGATTGATTGTGTTTAGATAACAAGGAATACATAGTACAATTCAATGTGTACAATAAAAATAGAAACATGTCTTGTAATAGCCTACAGCTTAATACTTAAGTATGACAAATCTATTTTTCCTACAGTCACCTGACAAAGTGGGCTTTCTTGCAAGGATGCAAGAAAGGGCTTTCGTACAGAAAGTGGCTAATTGCTGCATTTACTTACTTTTGCCGCACTATTTTTTGCCGCACTCTTTTTTTGCCACACTCTTTTTTTTGTCGCACTCCAGTATTCCATCCAAACAACACAAAACTGCGTGATATTATTAGGCACGTAATCCGTGTACGCTTGAAAATAAGTTGGCAACACTTTAAGATACTACGCCACAGACAATAGTATTATATTGTCTGTGACTACGCCTACGATCAACTATTGCAGTGCAACCCTTCGTTTAACGCTTGGATTTAACCTAACCTAAAACATGATGTTTAGTGTTTAAAATACTAATTATTTCTATGCTTTATAATAACTGTAGGAAAAGTATAATGTGTAACACGAGTACAAATTATCTTTGCTGAACTCGAGAAACTTTCTCTCATGTGCAGCAAAATGCCACTTCGCACACTAGTTACACAAATAACTATAGATATTTTTTTGATATGTACTGCACCCCACCCACTTCACCACCACCACATACACAGTACTATAATGTACGTAGATTAGAAGAACATGTAAAAGTGCAAATAATTATGTTAAGCAACCCCAACAAGAATGAAAGACTCTACTAAACAGAATCTAAAATATGACAAGAGATTTCCAGACCCATAAAAAATGTGCGATTAGACTATAACCAATTAACCAAAGACAAATAGATTTAAATTTAAATATAGGCCAACAGCAGTGCTGCGGTTAGCATAAATTCTGGTGTCCACCGCTGGGAACGCCGTGCAGTTAAGGCGCATGCGCTACGTAACTACACGGTGCTCCTAGAGGTGGACGCCAGACGTTATGCTAACAGCAGCACTGCTATCTGTCTACTGTATATTTAATTTTATTTGTCTATGCTAAAAGACATGGTAACTAACATTAAATTATATTTTAAATTATTTTTGGCAACGGCGTACTTCTTAGTGGTAGCATAGACTAACCTTGTTTAGTCTATGGTGATAGACAATATATGGTCTAGTTGGCGGTCTGTACACAAAATTGGGAAATCGGTACACTCACAAGATTATTTAAACTGTGTTATAATCAACCCATCTTAAAACATTTAACGAAAATTTATCAACTGTATTGCTTGGTTATATTTTGCTGATATTATACTGCAAAATCAAAAATATTCTAGATTTTAAAAAGTTACGTGCAAATAAACGGAAAGGCCTTGTGGTCCTAGTATCTCTTGTATGGGTTAGTATAATCTTGCAAAATTTGCAATTTTCACAAAATTGTAATGTCAATGAAACGCTTTAACCAAGAAACTAGGGAAAGTAGATCAAATTAATGTCGGTCCTTGACTTAGGTGTTTAATGGCCGCGACCAATTTCGTGGTTAGAGATGCACCTAATGCAGCTGCGCTCATAATCTATCCTGAGAGTTGATGCAACAACAGCTGTAGGTCAGATGTACGAGGCCTCTCATCTCTCGACCACTTCCTTTTCATTACTCCACAACTTTCACTATCCTTAATTTGCGCCGGTCATTAAATGTTTTTATTAACGTCCACGATGTAAGGTGCTATTTTAGAGTTCGGTAGTAGTTAGTAGGTAGCATTGATTTGAAGCTTTTTCCAGGATTTCCGATATCACAAACCTAGTATGGCTCTAAGGGATCTATTTTCCCGGACAAATGCTTTCTGACCAAAATACGAACCACCTCAGAGGCGCAAACAGTAAAACAGTTGTGAGTTAAACAAACCGTGGTAAGTCATTAATGAAGTATTAAAACTTGACACATGTGAGCTTTCTGAAGAGACAAGTGATTTTAGCCTAACAACGTTTCGCAAGTTGTCATCCGAGCTCAATCTGCTGTCAAGATGGAAACCCATGAGTTAGAGTGGAATTAAATTGTTTATTTGCCGTTGATCGTGAGATAGGCACTGTCATAAAATTGAATGAATTGAAACAGGTTGTCATAAATCTAAAAGTTACAGCTAAAATCTCATTTCTACACATGTAATTAAATATTCATTAATATTGTCAAATGGATTGTCTAAAAGCCAAGCAGTTACCTCGTTTTTGAAGATTTTGAGAGTGGTGGTCCTTGCCGATTAATGTAGCTTGTTGAAACATTTTATACAATTTGCCTTGTGCAATGTGCTGCATTTTGCCAATCTGTTCTGTGGAATGTTAACTTTTGTTCTATTTCGAGTTTCATGTACGTGTATATATTGCCTGGTGGGGTAAATGTGAAGATTCTTTTTAGTATAAATTAGAATATGTAATATGTATAAGTTAGTTAATGCTGTGTTAAAATTTTCATTTGTTTAAAATAAAGGTTGACAGTGGTCCAATCTGTTAGCCCTGCACATAGTTATAGGAAACTTTTTATGAATCAAAAGAACATCTGATACGGCCGTGTTGCATGACCCCAAAGAACCAGTCCATACGATATATGAGATTGAAATAAACTAAAAGTAAGTCATTCTTAGATATCCAACTGACACAGATTCCCTAAGCTTCCAAAATAGGTAGCTGACCCGTGAAATCTTTTTACAAAGGTTGTTTATGTGAGCATGCCAAGACAGCTTGGAATCAAAATAAATACCTAATAGCTCTACTGATTGTAAGTCTAGATTTGGGGAGGTGCTAAGAATAATATTTTGGGTTTTACTTTGGTTAAAAAGTAGTTTATTAGTGAAGAACCAGTTTAGAGTATCTCCTCGGGGCATTTTTCTGAAGAGCTCTATTTTGTAGACATTAAGACTAAAATTGCGTAAAAATAAAAACAGGAAAGTTCCCAAAACTCACTCTTGTGGAACGCCAACTTTAAATCCAAAATATCAGAAAAATCTTTTTCTATCACTTCATGAATCTCTTCCTAATACTTCATGAGTTTAGTGTAAATATTGGTTTAGTCGTTTATAATAAATCCGTCTTTAAAAAATGTCTATAATCTATTAAACTTATCGTCTATTTCGTTTCATGTATGGTAATCAAATCATGTAGTATACAATATTCTGACTGATTTGCTACTCATTTACACTATGAACTATGAACTTCTTAAGCTTTTCATTACCACTGCCTCACTTATTTTCGCGTAATTTTTTCACCGAGTTTAACCTTCGGTATTCCGTAGTCAATTGACCCCATTTTTTATTATTCCTGTGGCTTTGGACGTTACTTATTTCAATTGTAATTTATGTTACATTCGTCTTCATTCAACAACCTAAACTTGTTTTTAACGTAAAAAACGCTAACCTTTAGTTTTTTTCTTTCGTCAAAAAAGACTGCATGAAGAACAGGTCCCTGCACTATGGGTAATGACTTCATCCCTATATAGCAGTTTCCATTCAACAATCACCTAACAATAGGCGAGCGAATAATCGATCAGCTGATGGTGACAGCAGGATGTAGAGGAGATGATTGAGTCGTTATGTCCCCACTCTCCTCTCACACTCGCTCACCTACTATGTGGAACTCTCCTTACGTCACAGTAATTAAAAACGAAATTGCTGCACCTGGTATTTTGTGGATTGCTCATTTCTGTAACTTTGTTCTTTGTGATTGTCTGTTGCGAATTCAATCATCAAGAAAGGCAATTACCGAAATATGGTCATGTATGATCATAATCTGTTTTCTTTATAAATACAGTTGCAAGCAGTATATTCGTTGTCTCATTGGATTCATTTCAATGTTAAGTGATTCAGATATTCAAAAAGGTAAATTTATTTTACTTACCCTACAACATAGGATACGTACAATATTTAAATGTGATTACCCAACTGACAAATTGGCTTGTTTGTTTTTTCCACGTCGCAGCTCATCAGGTTTTTAATACAAACCATTCTTACTTTCATAGAACTTAAATAGTTATCATTTTTATATAATTGAAGGGAGGAGTTCAAGAAAAATCTGTTATTATAAAAAAATATTGAAACTTTTTCTGGAACCTACGTAAACGTGGCTATATGTAACCAAAGAAATGAAAAAAAACTGTTAAGAATATTTTTCTTTTTCACGTTTTATAAAGGTTTACTAGATCATGTACGGATTCAAACCCGATGATTAAAACCCATAAAAGATAATTGATAACTTTTTGTTTCTAAGCGTTTCTTAAAGTATGCTCTATGATCTGTAGTATGGGTTTTGTTTGATACAACAATTAATGGTCCTATAGCATTTTTGTTTTAATTAGGTTTCATGTATAAAATTTTAAAAAGTATTACTAAAATATGTTTGATTGTTTGTCCTTTATGGACTCCGAAACCGCTCGACAGATTGTAATGAAACTTTCAGGCATTATTAAGCATTATTCAAGGATGGTTCGTGTGACGTTTGGTGCAGATCCGTCAAAAGGGCTCCGCCCCAGTGGTTCTGGAGTTTACCATGTTAACCTTATGAGTACTCATATTTAAATGGAGAATCTTAACAGCTGGTTCAACTAAACAATTTGATTATGTGATGTTCAATAGCATTAAAAAGTTAGTAGGTTTACCAACAGGGTGCAGCACTATTATTTTTTTAGAAGCAAACGAACTTCAACCTGGACGTGATTGAGCCATCCGATCGAGCTCATCTTGAAAATGAACGAGTATTTGACATAAAACCACATTAGGACAGGACGACGTCTGTCGGGCCAGCTAGTCTATATAAATAAAATTAGAGTTTTGTCTGTACATTGCTTAGAATAATGAACTTTTTGGTTATTTTTACATTTCATAGGTCAGAGAAACCGAATCAAACCTTATCTCAATTTCTGTCTGTCTGTCTGTCTGTCTGTCTGTCTGTCTATCTGTCATTCTCTTGGTAACGCTAAAATACGCACTTTATTACAACTACTCCTCAATAACTATAGCACTGTCCCGCCTGAAACTTATTTTCCAAATACTATACATATATGAGATGGTTTTAGACGTATTTCATCGAATATGAGACAGTTAGATATTTAACAGTAAACCCTTGAAAATCAAGTTTTTGTCGATTTTTGACGTGGAATTTCTGGAAGCCCATGTTAACCTTATGAGAAATGAAATTATTGAATCTTAACAGCTGTTTCAATTAAACAAGTTGGTTCTGTTCTGTGATGTTCAATAGCATTAAAGTTACAAGGATTACCAACAGGGTGCAGCACTAGCACTATTATTTCTTTTACATTTATGACAACAGCTAATTTGCAACCTGGAGGCGAGTGAGCGTAGCGAACGAGCTAACCTGAAGGCAAGTGAGCGTAGCGAACGAGCTAACCTGAAGGAAAGTGAGCGCAGCGAACGAGCTCCAACATACAGGTGAGTGAGCGTAGCGAACGAACTTCAACCAGGACGTGATTGAGCCATGCAAACGAGATCAGATAGTAATAATTTATAAATAAAAAACCTTTTTAAAACAAAACGTTTTTAAACGCACTAAAAAGTATGAAATAATTTATGAATATGTGGAGAGTATAAATACTTTTAAGATTTAAAACAAAAAACGTGGGGTGCATGCAATAGATAGTTTACAATTGTCAATTACATTCACCTGTTGAACTAATGTATTATTATCAACTGCATGCACCCCACGTTTTTTGTTTTAAATCTTAAAAGTATTTATACTCTCCACATATTCATAAATTATTTCATACTTTTTAGTGCGTTTAAAAACGTTTTGTTTTAAAAAGGTTTTTTATTTATAAATTATTTTCTATTTTTTAGTTTTTAATGTGTGTGGATGTTAAATCTATTTCAAGCGTCTATAACAGATTAAGACAGAGGCACGTGGGAAATCTAAGGTTTATTTGAGTTTCTTTTCATAGAATTATGTATTAGATTGAATGTATGGCCTACCTACTAACTATAAATATATCAATCTATTTAATTTATTGTTTACTTTATAGAATACTAAATAAATTACAATTGACATTATTAACAAACACCTTTATATATGCAATCAGATTGTTTATCTTTATTTTGAAGCTTTTGTTTGTATAAAGAATCTCTTGGGAGCATAACCTGTACCTCTTAACCTCTGCTCTTGGAACTGTCAAATTTAAGTATTTACAGCTGACTTAAATTAATTTATATATTTACATTCTTTAAAAATGTAAACATGGAAAATTTGGAAGCCCATGGGGCGTAACCCAAGGGTAATATGAAAATTAAATGATATAATGTTGCATTGTCATCCATTTGTGAGCTATTTTTCAAATTTCAAGTCTCTAGCTCATTAGGAACTTCGTTTATAATTGATATCAAAATTTGTAGGAAAGCGAGCTAATAAAAACAAGCCCATGGGGCGTAGCCCAAGGGAAATATTAAAATTAGATGATATAATATTGCATTGTCATCCATTTGTGAGCTATGTTTCAAGTTTCAAGTCTCTAGCTCATCGGGAAGTATCAAAATTTGCAAGAAAGCGAGTTAATAAAAACAAGCCCATGGGGCGTAGCCCAAGGGAAATATGAAAATTAAATGGTATAATATTGCATTGTCTTCCATTTGTGAGCTATATTTCAAGTTTCAAGTCTCTAGCTCATCGGGAAGTTAGTATAAAATTGATTGCAAAATTTGTACCGGACAAGAAAGCGAGCTAATAAAAACGTTTTAAAAATAAAAGTAAGCCTACCGTTATAGGATCGACCGGCAGACACAGAGGTAATTTAACCTTTTATTGATTGTCATACCGATCCGGAACAACAAAAAACAACATAAAATGAAGCTATGTATAATAGTTTGGCCAGCATATCTTAAAATATGCAAACCAACTGCTGTTCGTTATATAAGAAGGTTTCAACTGAATATTATAAGATCCCCGTGCGTAGAACGGGTACACAGCTAGTTTATTATAAAACCAAAATATGTCTAAATAAAAATTGTTATCAGTTTTTCCATGAACTCCCCCTTTAAAGAAAATAAAACTCTATTCTTCTTCTTTTACTTTAATTAACACGTATTTGTAGAGTAACCTTCTTAGCTTTTTGCTAGAAAAATGCATTGAACGTTGAGAAAGTAAGTAACTAAAACTCGTGACGTCATGTGATAATAAAGGATGACTTTCACGAGGTGTAAACCTCGACCCGAATTAAGCTGACTTTACCGTCTGACTGACATTACTGTCCTGTTATGACTTTTCATTTGGTCCATCTCCGTAAAATCGTAGTTGATTGGGATTGCCTATGTTTCGTATCAAGAAATTTAATCACGATATGTCATTGGTATCTCTTTTATATCCTTATGCGTGTCCAATACAGTTGCCTTTTATGTAAAATATTTGCTATAAAACAGTTGAGGATTGTAAAATCTACGTCGTATATAAACGCATACACTATTTAATTAGCGAAACACGCTAATGTATGCAATTACAATAAGATTTACAACGTTGGATGGTGTATTTACATACTTATTTAAAGGTTGTTCCAGTTTTTATCTCACATTGACTTTGTAATACTGTCTTCTAACCGAAATCCTTTCTCTGTATCGAACTCCGGGGGAGCGAGCTGGTCTAGTGGTATGTGCGGGACTTCGATCCCAAAGATCCTGGGTTCAAATGCCGCTAAATCACCAATGGACTTTATCTATTTTTTTTTTTTTACTTTCGTGATGGAAAATGTCCGCAATGAACCTTTGAACAACATTAACTCACCATCACCAACAATGAACTTCAAACAAAGAAAGGACTTTATCTAAGTGATAATTCTTCGGAACCCCTAGGTCTAGCCTGTAGTAATGTGAAAAACAATCCTAGGCTCGTTCTAAAATAATTAACGAACTTCAGTTTGGCACACCTTTCCACATAGAGCACAATATACTATTCAAGCACTTACATAATATATCTAACCCTGATGTTTGTCCACAGGCGAAGCTGGGCGAGGAGACGTTCGGAGGAGCGGCCGATCCTAGGGGTGGGCGAGAGAAGCGACTACTCAAGACTGTCGGGGTAGTGAAGAGTGTGAAGGCCGTAGCCACCAAGGCTGCGGTCGCGGGTGCCAAAGCCATCGGCGCTAAAGTGCTAAAGTCAAGCGCCGGTGTGGCCGCTGGGGCGCTTGGACTTAAAGCCGTGGCAGGAAAAGCCATAGGTGCCAAAGTGAAGGCGGTCGGTGTTAAGGCCATCGGCACAGTGGCTGCGCTTGGACTGAAGGCACTGCTGCTCAAATTCCTCTTTGGGGTGAGTTACATGTTTGTGTGTTGATAGTTGTAGTAATTTTGTATACCCTTGGACCATCCCTTAAAATTTGTCTTGGGTCTTTCAGTAGTTTTGAAATGGACCATTTCGTAGGCCAAGAGGAAATTATAGGACCTATTTGGGTTTCAAATTATCCAACAAACTAATTACCAGGTACTTTGCAAACATTTGTTCACGAAAACCTTGAGCAGGAGCTATACAAATTATTTATAGGTCTTGACAATTGGAGACATGTTTCAAATGTTGCTGATCTTGGTGTATTTCAGGAAACATTTCCATGTTCATCAACCATTATTTTACAACTTCAATCTGTAAACGTGGAACGTACTAACATTCTTCCGTAACCTAACAAACTCTAGATTCCCAGTCTGGGTGTTCCATTAGCTAGTTCTGTTGCAGAATATCAACAAAATAATAACCCAGACGGAGAAATTACTGAATCAGCTGGATGCCTACAATAAGGTACAGAACCAGAAGTTCTCCCAGCAACTGTTTGGCCACGCTCCCTGCAAGTACCCTGGGGGTCACCCTCATGGGGCGCCCGGTGGCTACCAGGGGGCGCCCGGTGGCTACCCGGCCCCTACGGTGGCGCCGGCGTACTCGCCACTACCCCTACCTGAGGTGAGAATCTTTAAAAGTTAAATAAGTCATTTAAGAAGAATTCATCAAAAAGAGGAAGTGTTTTATGCTTTAAATATTCATAGGAGGTTGAGTAGGCTCTCGCTACTGTAGGGGAATTAATTGGTAGCATTTTGTTTAAAAAAAATTTCGTAAATACTAAGTGTACAGTGTTTTGTTTTCGGCTACTTCTACGTATCGTTATTTTTATGACTTAATAAAGGTCCTTTTATATGAGAGTAAAATAGATCCAAATAGGGTTTCACAATAATGATTTATATGCGTTTTATAAATTTGAAAAGTGAAAAAATAATAGTACATCTTGTCATTAGTTATTTTTTAAATAATTCAGTAAGTTGTCTTTACTCAAACATGGAACTTGAAATCAATAAGAAGAGTTTACCAAACTGAATAATTTAAGCTGATTCCCAGCGCTGACTGTAATAAAAACTTGATAACCGTCAATAATGTTATACTACATTCAACTATTGTAAAAATATCATCTGAACCCTGTAAATGGTGATTTTATGTAATATTTCACTAGTTTTAAGATTATTTTCTGTATCTAAAAAAAAATCTAAAATTTTATTGCATTTTATAGTCCGACGTTTTTAAGCTGTCATGAATAGCAGCGTGTAGCAAAGGAACACAAGACATAAACGTACAGGATAAATTTACTATGTAAATAAGCTTTTCCAAAATCTTTTATACAAATTTGGTAATTGAAGTCGTATAAGCAATATCTAGGTTGGTTTTCAAACACATAGAATTTTATTCTGTCTAGTAATTTTGATTTCTGTCTTTATTACAAATATTTGTATTAATTTTGTATTTAATCGTGTAATATTATTTCATTTTATTACACACTATGAAAAGAGTTTCATAGAGATTCTTTAATGAAGATTGATAAATATTGAATAGGGCTACATTTAATTTTGAAAATTAAAAGTTAGCTCATATAACTGCCTATACTTGCCAACTTAAAGAAGGCGAGCTTTACAAAAAAATTAAATAATAGAAAATCAGAAAAATTTATTTTTATGTTTATGTAGTGATAAACTGAAGTCCTAAATTCTTTTGAGAATGAAAAAAACGGCAAACCATCACATACGAGCAATACTTTTTCTCTCCTTGAAAAACAAATCACATAGTCAATACTTACTGAGTGATATTCTAAACCGTGTTCTTTGAAAGACCCGTGTCCCAAAAAGAATGGATCAAATCTACAGCTTAATATACGTGTTACCTAGGGTCGTATAAAAGTAAACTCTGGCATTTTAAAGTTTGTTTAGTAACCTTTAACAGTAATCAGCTATTCCATTATTGTTAGCACGTTTGAATTTTCAAAACATACAGTTGCAATATGGAGGTGAAGTTGAAAGCACAGTGTATTGAATGAAGAAGTGATTTTCTTGTCTGATGGTCTGTGAAAAATGAAGTGTATCGCTCGCTGATATCAAACATAGATAAACTAAAAGCAATGATGAAGCAAATGGAAGCCTTTGAAAAAATATCTAATGAAATACGCCACAGTGTGCTCAGAGCTGGAACACCAACTTGTTCTTCTTCGAGCAAATAACGGAGAACATGTAGATGTTAGGCGGTAAAACCATGGTAGGAAAAACTTAGGAAAAAATTGTATAAACAGTCAACTTCTTATCTTCAAAAAGTGTTTATGCCAGTTTACTTTTAAACCATTATTTTTGGGACACCCGCTATTTTATGTTCTGTAACTTTGTTAAACAAAACTAGTTTTAAGCACTTTGTGTACTATTTTTGACGTTTTATTGATTTACAGGAGGGGCTTCAGCAGACTCAAGGATACGTGTATAGAAGGCGAAGACGATAACCTACAACAGTCCTCAAGTCATCGCCATCTTTTCCTCATCTTCTGTATATAACTCGCTTCTATCATCGTCGCGCGGTCATCTACTAACATACGCTCATTCATTGTACATTGTGTAAATTGTCATTAAATCAAAACACTTGCCATCCACACGTATTCTTTATGCCTACTCTTATTTGTATCATAGGTGTGAGTTATGGAATTTCAGAAGTCAAATGTTTCCTAAATGATTTCATCTACGTTTAGATTTATTACAATAACCACTCTTACATAAACATTATTTTGTACAGTAGAACCTTGATAACAAGTCTTTCATGGGGATTATAAAATAAGACGTGTTTTCAAGGTTGACTTCTTATTGAGGTTAGCAATAATATGTTTAGGGTGATGTAAATTTAAGGCTATTTTAAAACGACATTTGCTATCAAGGGCTACTTGTTATCGAGGTTCCACTGCATAAAGATTTGAAGACATAACTATTTTGGTTAGTCTATCAACAATACCCATATGGCCATATGTTAAGAAGTCCTCTGGGGATATTATAGTTCGTACCTACGGCCGAAAATGAGGTTTGCCGGCACGAGATAGCAATCAAACACATGTTTTATGTTCGAAGTCTCGAACATAAAACGATCGAGAGTTGTAAAACCATTTCGGTCCGTGGTACGAACTCTATTTTTCACCACACTATACCCTATTACCAATATTCACCACAATAACAATGCACACTGATAGTCAACACAACTACAACTTTAAGGATATGTGAAGAAATAATTTGAGGAATCAGCATAAATAAAAAATAAATAAATAAGTATGAATCATCTGCTATTTGATTTGTTTACATTATTTGTTTAGTTTTTGTAAATAAATAGTTTTTGGTTGAGTTTACTTAAAATGAGTTTTAATAATTAATTATTCTATATTGGCGACGAGAAAATGCCGAGGAAAACAGACCAGTCTCAGTATAGGAGTGTAATGGACTGTAGTAACATGTCTTGCATACAAGATAGAATGAGCAGATTTTCATTTAAAGAGTATAATAGTGAACAATTGTGGGAAGACTACATAGCTCGTTTTGAGTTGACCTGCAGAGTTAAGGGACTGGGTGGTGCTAACACAGAAGAACAAGCGGCTCGGCGAGATCTTCTATTGGCAAATATCGGAGAGGAGCACCTCAGGGCACTGTCGGACCAGATGTATCCAAGGGCCTGGGAGGAGTGCACCTACGACGAAGTCAAAGAGGAAGCCAACCGGTTGTTCAAGCCTACAAGGACCCTTTTTGCAACAAAGTTTGAGTTCGAAAGAGCAATAAGAAAAGATGGTGAGACATTTATTTTGTTTTATAACAGATTGAAGTCTTTAGCTAGAAGTTGTAAATATGGAGATAGCTTAGATGAGCGAGTACGAGATAGGTTTGCAGTAGGAAGCAACTGTCCAGAATTTGAAGTCGAAGTCAGACAAAGATGGCCCGAGGGAGTTAATAACCGAGGTGAGCGTGTTAAGTCAACAGTAGTACTAGAGTTAGCTCAATCTATGGAACGAGCGAGAGAAGAAGTTTCCAAACATTCGTGTAAAAATGAGATTCTTAAAGTAAGTGACAGTAAGGAAAAGAGGAAACCAGAGGTACAGAAATCTACTGGCTTCAATAGGTGTTATAGATGTGGGTTTACACATGACCCTAGTGAAGATAGGTGTCCTGCTATTTCTGCTGTGTGCAAGAAATGTTCAAGGAGAGGCCACTTCGCAAGAATGTGCAAAAGTAAACATAATTTTTTCAAGAGAACAGATGGTAATTTGAGAAAAGTAGATGATTCTTGTGATCAAACTTACGATGATGAGTGTAGTTCTGATATTGATGTTAGCGGAACACAAATTAGGTCTGTCAAGAGTAAGGTTCCCAGAGCTACGATAGATGTAGAATTGAACGGGTATAATGTTAGAATGGAGTTTGATTCAGGAGCTCGGGTAAGTGCTATAAGTTTGTCTCTTTGGGATAAGATCAATTCAAGTGGCGAATCTCTAAAAAAGACGTCTGATGTAATCACTGGCTATGGGAAAAATAAGCTAAAAGTCATGGGTAAGGCTTTTGTGGACGTTACTTTACGTAATCGTACTAAGCGATTGCCAGTTATTGTATTACTAGAAGATGATGTTCCATTATTTGGGTTGCCGTGGAGTGTAGCTTTCAATCTTAGTTTGCCTAGGGAAGTAAGGGTTAGGCGTATTGATAATGGAAAGACAAATAGTAAAGAGACAGGCAAGAATGAAGAAAGTTGTAGAAAAGAGTTACAAAAAGAAGTTGTGACATTAACTCAGGAGTTTTCTCAACTCTTTCGTGATGAGCTAGGAACGATATCTGACTCTAATGAAGTTATCCATCTAAAAAGTGGATCAAAACCTGTATCTTACGGGGCACGACGAGTTCCATTCCCCTTAAGGGAGGCAGTGGAGAGAGAATTACGGCGATTAGTACAGGAAGGAGTTTTGGAAGCAGTGGATCCTTCCGAAACACCGATAG